AACCTTTATCAATTTTGATGGTACCCACAGCTTATCTTCTCCTGTAGAAACAAAAGCAAAACCTCATCCCCAATGTAATACATACCCTGGTTTCCATTCAAAGGTCAGCACATCCTTAAAGTATATAGGCTGATTTAATTCCAGGAAAGGCACAAAGCTACACAAAGAAACCCTGTCTCGAAAAAACCAAAAAAAAAAAAAAAAAAAAAAGAAAGAAAGAAAAAAGAAAAGAAGGTGAAGGATTGAAGAAGCCACAGATATCACCTCTGGCCTCCACGTGCCTAAGGACATGTGTGCACATGCCCCTCATATGTACACACACACACACACGCACACGCACACGCACACGCACACGCACACAATGGAATACTGTTCAGTCTTACAGAATAAGAAGGGCCAGCAAGATGACTCAGTGTGTAAAGGCACTTCCCACTGAACTTGATGACCTGAGTTTGATACCTGCAACCCATGTGGTAGAAGAGAATTAGACTCCTGGAAGTTGTGTTCTGACCTCCACACAAACCCCCAAATCAACCTATATAGTAAAAAAATATTTCTTAGAGACAAAGAAAATTCCACCATTTGTAATAAATGATGAACATGGAATGCATTGTCAGGTAAGATAGGTAGGGTCCGTAGATACCCATATGATTTCATTCATATGTAGAATGTGAAAAATTTGTCTATAGAACCAGAGAAGCAGAACAATGATTTGTTAGTGTTTGGGGATCAGGCATGAAGGAGGTTTTGGGGTAAGATTTTCATTGAAGGAAACACCATTTCATCTAGAGTAAGCTTTGAGAGCTATTGTACAATATATTGTTGATATGTTCTCAAAAATTACTAATAGTTTACAACTATAACCCTGGCACTAGAGAGGCAGAGGCAGGAGGATGGCTGTGAGATTGAGGCCAGTCTGGTCTACAAGGTGAGTTCCTGCCCAGCGAAGGCTACATGTTGAGACCCTGTCCCAACAAAACAAACCCAGAAAAACAAAAACAAAAAGGCACCAAGACTTTAAACAAACATCGTACAATATGGTATACGTAATTAATCTTTATTTTGAGACAAAGTCTATGTAGGCTGGCTTGGAACTCACTGTGTAGACTAGGCTGATCTCTTTTTATAATTTATTTTTACTTTGGCTTTTTTTT